TGCTGGGATTTAAGGCATGCAGCACCAGTGCCGGCTTGAAGTGGATTTTTAAAGGCAACCAGAAGTTCATTCAATTTAGAAGGATGTAACACATTTGAGCAGAAGGAAGGCAGGGTCTTGGAGAACCAGAGGAAGACAGGTTTGCTGGAGTGGTAGCTAGGGGCAATGCGTAGCTATTAAAGGTTTGTGGACGGTGCCAGGGTCCTGGATCAGCACAGATGTGAGGACCGGGGGCAGTAAAACAACAGGCTGCATTGTGATACAGAAGGGACCTCTTGGGTCCTGAACCTGTTCCCAGGAATTCACTGGTAAAAAAGCAGCTGGTCATGGGCAGGTGTGTATTTATGTGTGTGTTACTGGGTATGCAAATATCTCAGAACTTATGTGTGTCTGTGAGTGTTCTGTGTGTCTCTGAATGTTAGTGTATTCAGGTGTAGTTTGACCTTACTGTGCATGTGAATGCCTGGGTACATGTATTCAAGGTCTGGGTCATATGTAGATTTGTGTGGTTTTATACACATCAGTGTGGGGTGTGCATTTGTGTATCTGCCTGTGTGACCGAACATGTTTGTATGTACATGTGCCCTACCAAAAGGAACGAGGGTTCAGCCTCAGGACCAACCAGCAATCAGCTCTTCCACACCTATCAGGTTTCCTCTGCCTTGCTGCCCCTGGATCCTAAGTTCTGTCCTCTGAGTGGCAGCCCAGCTCCACCTTCACCCGACTGCCACCCCATACCTACAAAGCCCTGGGTGGCCTTGGCTATCCCCAGACTAGCTCGTTTGTGCTTGAGCACGGGAAGGAATCAGAAAGTTGTTCAGCCCCAGAGGTGCTGTGTCATCTTCCACTGGCTAGCCCACGGTTCCTCCCATCCCAGAAAGAGGTGTCTAGACAGCCTGAAGGAGAAGCCCACACAGCACCACCCCTTCCTCCTTCCTCCTTCCTCCTGGGCTCTGCATCTGAGCCAGGGAGTCCTGGAAGCTTGGCATAAGTGGCAAACATGGCTGGAACACCTCCAAGGTATCTCGTGAACCTCTGAGCAGAGTTTTTAAGGATGGCAGACTAGCTGGGTGGTGGTGGTGCACGCCTTTGATCCCAACACTCGGGAGGCAGAGGCAGGCAGATCTCTAAGTTTGAGGTCAGCCTGGTCTACAAAGCTAGTTCCAGGACAGCTAGGGCTACACAGAGAAACCCTGTCTCAAAACAAACAAACAAATAACAACAACAACAAAAGAATGGCAAAGTCCTTTAAAGGATCTACACTTCCCAGCTGCTGCTAGGGGCTGCCAATCTCAGGACCTTGTACCATCCATAGAAGGGAGTTATGACTAAGGCCTGGCTAGTCAGGCTACCTCAACCCTGGGATATGTTCCTTGGCCTAGGGTGGGACAGACGACACAGTGAGAGACCAGTGAAAGGCCCTCCCTGGGATTTTGCATATGGATTTGGACATGGGGTGGATGGGAGTTGAGATGAGGTGTCAGGGCTTAGCAGTTAAAGGATAGGCTCACAACCAAAAATATAAGAGATGAGGTGACATTCTGAAGCCTACCTTTGTCCTTTCTATGAAACGGCTGGTGGCTATAAAGTGTTGGTGGTATTTCTGTTATATGAGCTAACAAGTTCCTTTAGCTTAAGCTACTTAGAGTTGGGTTACTCGCACTGAAAGCCAGAAAAATCCTGGAATATTTCTTGCCTGCACCACATACCGGGTCTTCAGGATGCCAGGGCTACCTTGCCTGGCTCCTAACATCCTTTGCAGTCCCTCCTTGGCTTTCTCAGTCCCACTTACATGTCTTACTAAAGCTTCTTCTAAAGCTTCTACACCTACCTCTGCTTTCTCTGTCACCACCCACTTCAGTGAGAAAATGGCGCTTCCTCTGCTCTCTGGACCCAGTTTCCTCCATAGCTATTTCCCTGTCTGCCTCCTCTTCAGGCCCTTACTCAACGCTGACCACCAGGGCTCCAGAGTGCCCCAGGCTTCCCAACATCAGAGTTGCCCGGGTAACTGAAGAGTTGCTTTCTCCGAGGCCTCCCAACTAGCTCTGTCTGTCTGGCCTTGGGATCAGCACTGTGAAACCCCATCTGTGACTCAGTCCTTGATTGATGAGACTTAGCTCCATGAATAAAGGACAATCAAAGGTCACTGTGTTCCTGTAGCTGGGACAGGTTGCCTGACTTTCTCCATTCCTGGTTCTTTTCCTTGTGATCTGCATTTCTTTGGAGCCCAGTCTTGTGTCCCAAGCATGCTATGTCAGAAACATAGAGGGCCATGTTTGTGCCTTTCTACAATGTCAGCATTTATTGAATAACAAATTTCCAAAGGACAGAAGTCTCATTGATGTCAATTCATCAACTGGTCCCACTTTCCTCCATAGCCTTGGCTGAGGAAAGCCACAAATCTTAATTATTAACATTAACACATTACATATCACATAGTAAGTCCATCTATGTATAGGGGTATAGTTGTAAGTTACAGAATAGCCACTAAGGCTAAAGAGATCCCAGCAGGCCTGGATCCCTCCTTTGAGTCAGAGGCCAAGAAAGAGCAAAGAGTAAAGTAGGAGGAGGGGGATAGGGAGTGGGACCCCAGAGAGTGTCATCCATTTAAATCTAGTTGGGACTCTTACAAGTTAAAGCTCTGAAGGAGTTTCAAAGTGGCCTGAGCTAGGAGCTGATAAGGACACAAAGGGAACTGGGGTGGGGGTGGAGGGTTGAGATAAAGCACCAAGCTGAAGAGCACCCCCCCCCATACTGCTGAATGCTACCACCACAGAGTCAGGCTTCAGGTCAGAGGGGTCAGAGCAGAGCTGAACAGCAGGAGTGAGGATCAGGACCAGTTCAGAAGGATGGACAGATGGACAGACAGACGGAAAGACAGCAGTTCAATAGGCTATGTCAATAGCAAGGATGGACAGGTTCAGAAGGATGGACAGATGGACAGACAGACGGAAAGACAGCAGTTCAATAGGCTATGTCAATAGCAGGGAGCAACCCAAGTTGAAGCCCAGAATTCAGGAATTCTGTCAGTCCACTGACACACTGTCAGTTGACAGGCCAGTTGAAACATTCAGGAATTCTGTCAGTCCACTGACACACTGTCAGTTGACAGGCCAGTGGGACCATAGCATGGCAGTGTTAGGTGGCCTGCCTGCCTCTTCGTGGGGTCCAGATGATGGTGTTACATCATTTCCTCCATCTGGTGTGTTCCTTAAGTTCTCAGGTCTCATTTTCTTGTTATGACCATGCCCATGTTCTCTCGTGGTCCCAATTTACTTTGATAAATGTATAGGACAATGACCTTTCCTCTTACAGGAATACATCATTAACAGTCTGAATCTCCTGTACAGAAGCATTTATACTCAACATGGAGTCAAAAGCTGCCTGTAAAAGAGTGTCTCTCGGGGCAAGGCACAGCTGGGAAAATACTGCTATAAACATTATGGAGTGACCGGGCAGGGCACAGTCTGCTGTCAACATCTTGACTGAAGGAACTTCCAAGAGTTTAACTAGACTCTGAGAAGGAAGCCACCCCACGATCTGAAGATTCTCCCTACTCTCTCTGGCTTCCCATCTCCTCCCATCTTTTCCTCGCTCCTGCTTGGGCCTCTGACTACAGAAAAGACCGAGGCAGCAAGATAGATCCAGATTTACCCACTGCAGACTTCTAGAACAAAACACAAAGCAGGCATACTACCATGGCTCTGAGTTTAGAGAAACTCCTATCAAGGTCTGTGCAGGAAAACGTGTCAGGGCAATTCTCAAGGTCACCTTGACCAACAACTAGCTCTGAAGTCACAGAGGACCCATCATAGAAAGTAGCAGACCCAAGATAGTGCTCTGCAGAGCTGGTCTGGCCCTGGCAACACCCCTTCAGCAACTTTCTTCCTACCAGCAAATAACCTCTAACCCTCCAGCAAATAACCTCTAACCCTCCAGCACTGATCCTTCAGCCCCCAGCTGTGAGCATTGACAGCTGGATCTGAAACCCAGCTGTGGCTACTCCTGGAGTGTAACACTAGCTAAAACTAATTCACCTGCCCTTCAACAGCTCCCTGACGAACTAAAGTTACAGCAGCTGGCTTGGCTTAGGAACCCAGCCTCAATTCTCTGCCCATGGTGGCCTCTCTCCAAGGTGTCCAGGACTCCTCACTTTTTGCTTTCCAGTTCTTTCTAACCCAGGACAGCCCCCACATTGTCCTGTAACAATAGCTACCCTCCAGAGGGTCAGTGTCTCCCCACATCTGAAGTCTCTGCAGACCCAACAGGAAGGGGGAGCACAGCGGGTAGAGGGAAGATGGGACATTTCTTAGTGTGCTGCTTTTTTTTTTTTTTTTTTTTTTTGAGCCTCTATGGCTTTGGAGGCTGTCCTGGAACTAGCTCTGTAGACCAGGCTGGCCTCGAACTCAGAGATCCGCCTGCCTCTGCCTCTGGAGCGCTAGGATTAAAGGCGTGTGCCACCAATCCCAGCTCTTACTGTACTTCTATGTCCCAGCTCACCGAGTCCCGCTTCTGGGGTACCAAGAGAATAGTACAGAAAATGGCTTGATGGTTTAGGGGCTCCCAATCAGTCCCTTCTTCCACCACATCAACATTTCCTATAACTTCCTCTCTTTCACCCACAGCATGGGGGCAGTGACAGAGTCCACCTGCAGACTAGCCTCGCTCAGCCACCCCTGCTTCTCGGAGACAATCCACAGCCGTCTGCTATGGCTATGTCCTGATGGCTGGACAGGTGGTGGGGGCCAGACTAAGTGAGCCCAACAGTGGAGTCACTGTGCTTCTGAGTAGGGATGGGGCCATGTGGCTCACAGAGCACAGGATGAGGGGACAGTGGGAAGTGACCAGAGCCTGGCCAGGCATGACAGTGTACTTAACTGTCACTCATATTTCCCCAGTCTGAATTCATCCCAGGCTTTTATGATAAGCTGTCTCAACTGATCAGATTCAACTGCAAAGCACCAAGTCGACCTTGCACAGCTTTCCTGGTTACTGCCGCCATGTTCCCTTGTGGTCCCAGGATCCCCTGGGGTAGGTCAAACACTAGTGAACATGATATCAAAAGCAGTCCACCTGTCATAAGCCTCTGTGTGCAGGGGACACTGGTGGGTCTGCTTCCCCGGTGTCACCTCACCTCACATAACTTTGCACTGGCAGGAAATTGAGGTCTGGAGAAGATAAAGCCACCTGCTCCTTAGTAGCAGCCAGGAAGTGCAGAGAAGTGACCCAACACCCAACCCTCTGGCACTCAAATCTGAATTCACAAGCCCTTATCAGAAACACCTGTGTCCACCTTCACCTAGCACCTGGAGAAAACGCCACTCTGGGGTGAGAGGTCAGTGCGAGTCCAGATGGGCTGTTCTTCATCAGGGCACAGCACAGACTCTTCCTCAAAGCCACATGTATAGGAAGGACAAGAAGAGAGAACCTCAAAGCCTGGGCAGTGCCAAGTGTGTTAGCACATGTCTGTAACCCCATTGTTCAGGAAGCTAAGGCAAAATGACCTGCTGTTCAAGGCCAGCCTGGACCGCATGCCCAGACCCTGACTCAAAACAAACAGAACACAACACCCTGGGTGGTGGAGGAACATGGGGATAGGTAGCCAGTGCCAAGCTAGTGCCAAGCCAGGACTGGGTACAGGGACCTGTGGGACTGCAGTGACTCCTAGGGGCAGGTAGCCAGGCCAGTGAGACTTAGGCTTCTTGGGAACTTCAAGAGGGCATTGTACCAGATTCTCCTCTGAAATTCTGGCCAAAAGGCCCTTCATCCTTTCTGACTGGAGCTTGCAACATTGCAGAAAATTCCACCATATGTTTAAGCAAAACACCTTAGCTCAAAGATCACAAAGGGAAGGGCAAAAGAATTCTTCACCCTTGGAACTCACTGGAGAGTTCTGGTCACCCTTGTAGTCCCTGGAGAAGGGGGACACACAGAAAAGCAATTCTCCACTCCTACAATATGAAAGGAAAGCCAGAGGCAGGATTCAGGGACCACGTCCTGAGCCAGGCAGACTTCCTGGGTTTGCATATTCATCCATAGTGTTAGTTCCCTCCAGTCTACCATGGCAGAGCCAGTCACATCATCATGCCAGAGCCCGGGGCCAAGATGCCCCCTCCCTCCCTCTACTGTGACTGCGTGTCGCCCAGTCCCAAGAGAAAATGGTGTACACACTGCAGATTAATAAAGGGCTGGAGAGGAAACAAAGAGGAAGAAAGTATGTGAAGGGGATATTAAATGAAAGATTTGTTGGCAATACAAGGAAAGGAGGTTTTTGTTTGTTTTGAGACAGTCTCACCAGGGAGCCCTGGCTGCTCTGGAATTCACCACGTAGACCAGGCTGGCCGCAAACTCACAGAGATCCACCTGCTGGGATTAAAAGCATGTGCGAACACTCTAGCAAAAGAATGGAGTTTTTGCAGAGGCAAATGGGCCTTCTATTGGGGAGTGGTAGTGGAGAAAGTGTGGGGGACCCAGAGCCTTCCTGGATGATCTAGGCGGGCTAGGGTCTGAGAGCCGCAAACCAGTCTTCACCTAGCATCATCTCCTCTTGAGATGGCCGACAGGTCTAAGCGAGCCTGGGAAGTAGAAAAGTAGATAGGGCCGAGAGAAGAAAGCGTTAGGGAAGCAGCCTTCATCCGCCTCCCTCCGCTCTACACACCCAAGACTACTCCAGAAGGAAGCGGCCAGGCCGCGAGGCGCCCGGTGGGCGTGGAGGTGGGCGGCGTCCGACGTCCCCACGTGTCCCGGAGAGGAGAGGCAGGCGACCCTGTGAGGGCCCAGCGGGGAAGTCACCGCCTCAGGATGTTGGTGATCCTCAAGGTCTCTGAGATGCCGTCTCTTCCCCTCGCGATCCTGCGGGGCGTGCCTCTAAGGTAACCTGGCTTGAGCGTAGTCGCTGTCCCCACGGTAAGCCGGGGCGCCAAGGGTTA